CACGATGTGCTCGTCTATAAAAGTTTTAATAATAACAATGATATTCATATCCGAAAGCAATGACCAATCATGATGTAATATTATACATGAGTGTTTTTCTTTTGCCTAAACGTGTTCTTCGTATGATACCCTATCACCGTTCCCTGCCATCGTTTCATTTCTGACTCTGTCGGACACGGTTTGTGGCAAACTTTAATCGAACTTAAATTGTAACAGCAGCTTTTTCTTTTATGCGAGTTGTTCACGCTTATTATTGTTGTTCATCGTTCCGAATGATCTTCGTGTAAAGAGATATATTTTGCCGTCGTTACTGGGCGCGTTCCAAGTTGCGCGATGTGTATTACAAAATGGCGGACGGAGTAACGGTCGGTTCAAACGGATGTCTAAATTCCAGTGATGTTTCTTTCAATGTTAAAGATGAGAATATTATTAATATCATTATAGTATTACATATGAGAATAGTATATAATACCGATATTTTTTCTTCTATCTTTAAATCATTTAATGTCCTCATAATTCACGAAGATATTTTTAGTTTCGTTCTCTTCGCCATTTTGAATCTGCAGGAAACACATTTGTTTCGAGGCAGCTTTTTTCAACGATTTATAACACGAATTGTCGGTTATATGGTATTGTTGTTTCAATTTAAAGTCGAATATTTTTCGGGCAAACCGTGAATGTTTCGTTAGCAAATGTTGCTAGTAACGTTATTCAGTTCGATGAACTTTTACATCGAAGGATTTGTTTGAGAGTAATAGGTAAGTTGTCAAGATAGTTTTTATTCAAAACGATGCATCGGTTTGATGCATCGGGAGACTTTAACGCGAGGAGCTACGATGATGCAGTAGACGGGCTGCGAAAGAAGAAATAATACTTTGATCGTGATTCATTGTGATTCTGTTGTTTTTTCTCGTATAAGCGAATTACGCTCACGGAAGTCGCGCAAAGTTATTTTTATCGGTTCAAGTTCCAGGCGCTCCCTTTATGGTGCAGCCTTTCGACATTTTTTCAAGCGAAGGCGACTTTTTTTGTCTTGCTTATATATTCTTTGATGCGAGGGCGTGTGTTTGATTGACAAGTCTGCTTTTCTGTCGAAGTATTTGATATATGAATATTGAACAGGAACAAAGCATTCGGAAAGGAAAGGTGAGGATGTTGTTTAACGCTTGTTGTTTCAATAAAAATAACGCTTTTTGTCTCACGTATTGGGATTGTCGATTTTGATTAAGATAAGAGTGTAAATTGTGGACGAGAGATTGGAATATTACTGAAATGCTTGTCAAGGAGGTGAGGTGTACTTTTGAACTTGTTTTCGTAATTAATTTTTTCAAAATCTAAACTTTCAAGTTTCCAAAGTCTTGAAGTTTTAACTTTCCAATGTTTCAAAGTTTCAAATTTCTAAAGTTTCAAAGTTTCAAAGTTCCAAAGTTCCAAAGTTTCAAAGTTTCAAATTTTCAAACATTAAATTTCAAACCTTCAAAGTTTCAGATATTAAATTACAAACCTTCAAAGTTTCAAACTTTCAAAGTTTCAGAATTTTAAACTTTCAAACTTTCAAACTTTCAAATTTTCAAACTTTCATACTTTCAAACTTCCAAACTTCTAAACTTTCAAACTTTCAAACTATTATATCTTTCAAATTTTTCAAAATTTCAACTATCAAACTATCAATCTTTAAAATTCCTAAATTCAGAATCTTTTGGATGTTCAAATGTTCAAATTCTTAGAATCCATAAACTCCATATTATCAGGCTCTTATATTTTGAATGTTTCCAGTTTCTAATCCCTGGAAGATAAAATAAGCTACACCAATAGAAATAAACCCTGCAACGTACCGCTTCTAACATGTTGAAATAGCCGCTGCAACACGTCGAGATTCAAATTGACCGATTTAATTATGTAGGCGTAATTGGTTGTCGCTAGTGGAGGCAGTTGCACCGAACGCAACGTGTATACTATTTTGTCAGCACTTTGTCATTATATGCTAGTGATTAAGCAAACTACTGTACTTCGAGTGTACGTAATTAATCAGTACCTGTATTACCATCCACGCTAAATACGTGGCCATTTTTTATACCTTTCGGTCAATCGACAAAGCGTTAGTTACAGGTCAATCGTTTCTAATAAATAAAATATATCATCATTTCTTAAATTAATTGATATGAACTTTATAAATATCGATCGATCTTTCTGATTAATCTATCGATTCTAAATGAAAACAGGAGAAACAGCATATGAGTGAAAACGATGTATTAAACATAGTAATTGTAAATATTAGATATTTAGTATTCTTTTATGAATGTTTGTATCACTTGTCTGTATACTAGTTTCTAATTCTATACTTCTTCATGTTTTCTCGATACGAATAACTTTTGCTCCATACTTTATTTTTACTGTATGTAGGTCAAGTCTGACTATAGACGAATCAATCTTCTTTCTATCTTTTCTCGAATACATTGAATACCACTGTAGAAATAGAAATATTATCAACACTGTTATAAACATTTCCTGAAATTCAGTTCCAAACATTCTTCAAAGATTGCACATGAATGGAAATTGATGAACCATGTAGTTACTTTATTCTTCTTTATCTATGTTCGATAGAGAAATATTCAGTTTCTTCTATTTTGTCATTTTTTAAATTTATTATATTGCCCTTTAATATTTGTTCTATAGATATCATTTTAATAATCTATCGAGTAAAAGTTATTCATTGTAAAAAGAATAGATCTTCGGAAAAGGAATTTTTCAATGCTTCTTTGAATCTATTTAGCCTTCGAATTCGTTGGTTCAGCTAAAAGAAAAACAAAAGGAACAAACTGTAGCACCCTTTTAAAAGCGTTTGTATTTCCCGCGTAAACCGCTCCCTTTCTCTGACGCCATAGAGACGGTGTGCTTGACGATGAGATTAATTGCCTGAATTCTCTCGATTTTCTTTTTATGTCCCGATGGCCGATCACACGGTAGAGGGTGCCGCCGATTTGTCCCGTGAGACGCAGCAAAAGCTTCCCGAACGAAAGCGAAACGACAGATCACGCGGCCGAACTCGAGGACTTCCTCTCCTCCAGATCAGGTACCATACAAATCCATTCTTCCTCTTAGATCTCTTGCTAGACAATGTACAGATTGCTTTTCGTGCAAACGTCCAAATTTCTCAGAGTTTCAGAACTTTAGAATTTTAGAATTTCTGGATTTCTAGATCTCTGAATTTCTGGATTTTAGAATTTTAGAATTGTAGAAGTTTAGAATTTCAGAATCTCAGAATTTCGGAGTTTCTACATGAAATCTTTGGTTTGCTTGGGATTCTTTAACAATTCCTCCTTCCAACTTGCTCAAATTTATGTCCATCTATCTAGATCCTCTATCCCATTGTAGTCACTCACGTCAATATTCCATCCAAATAATATTCTGCATCTTCCTTTTCTCACAAGACTTGTCCTTTATACACCACAGTTCATTAACATATCCCATACCTTTCTAAAAAGAGAATTATCGTATAACTTTTAACCACTCTCGATGCAATCGTCCCAGGCGTAACAGAGCTATCAATGGACAAACCGGAAACGGACGATGAGGAAGAAGAAAACTGGAAGGACGCGTCGCCGTTGACCCCAACGTACAGTCCCACGGATCTGCCACGAAAGTTCCCTCAAGACCAGAAGCCTCTGAAGACAGTAGAAGTCGACGTGCACGAGTTCTACCCAGCAAGCAGCGGCTCCCTAGAAGACGTGATCATCGCGGACATAAGCCCAACGTCCTTGGACATGAAGATAGCCGCTAGATACACCCACGACATGACAACAGGGATAGAGAAAGTAGCTCCGAAAGTGAAGTTAAAGAACGAGCCGTCGCTAGAAAAGCCACCGGAACCTCAACCAGTCCACAAACGTCTCGACCCGGAAAAAAGGAAAGAACTAAAGCGGACGGACTCCACAGAAAAGAAGTCCACGCCGAAAGAACCGTTGACCAAACGCGAGGAACTGGACAAAGCAGTTAAAAAGAAGATTCCCAAGAAACAGGACACCGACGCCGACGTAAAACCCACAAGAAAGAGGATCGACGAGGTGGAAGAGCCTCCCGAATCCTCGAAGAAGACTCCGACTACACCCGAAGATTCAAAGAAGGAGGAAGACGCGCCAAGGACAAAGGAGCAGAGGAAGCTGCAAAAGGAGCAGGCGTGCATAGAGAGAGTCACCGAGTACCTAACGAGGCACAACGTCCTCGTCTATTCAGACTACAGCCAAGAGTCCATCCTTCAGCCTCCGCAAGACGCAAAGGAGCAACGAATACGTCCATCCACATTGGAGGAGTTAGACAAAGCTCGTCCAGCCGAGGGAGTCGATGACAGAGGTACCCAGAGAATAGAGGATTCGAAGATCACCCCCGAGGAATCGACGAAGACGCCATCCACCGTGGTCTCCGACAAACCTTGGACCGCCGAGCGACTCCCAGTGACAGTGGCGGAGTCGAAGAACGCGTTGACTCCGGAAGACGCGACCCAGCCGAAACGCAGGAGCTCGATGCGCAAGAAGACGTTCTCGAGGGAGTCCTCGAGGGAGTCCTTGCTGGACGAGACGAAGAAGGAAGTCAGGATACAGGAGAACGTCGAGGAGATCTTCTTCGAAGAGCCCAGCGAACAGATATCCGGTATACTGCCTGAAGTTCAGCTGGTGAAGGCTAGGATCATCACTGCTGAGGAGGCAGCGGCCAACAGGGCGGAAGAGGTCGCCAGGGTGGAAGTACAGTCGCCGCCGGAAGTGGTGGTCTTCGTCGACTCGATCAGAGTGAGGAGTGGTAGAGTACCTTCGCCGGAAACGGTGGACACGTCGCACCTGCAGCTGGTCAACCTGGCGAAGTCGACGTCCGAGAACACGCTGGTGGACCAGGTCGAAGAGGAGAACAGGGTGTCCGAGAGGAATTTGAAAGCGGAGATTCTGTTGGATTTGTCGAAGGTACCGGATGTCGGCGAGGTGCTGGGGAAGGCTGCTGAGGGGGAGAGGAAGTTGAGCAGGACTGGCAGCGAGGGCTCGAAGAGGGGAGAGCTTAGGAGGATCAAGGATAGGGATGGATTTAAGATTGGAAGCCTCGCGCAACCGGATCAGCCGGAGCTCACGGTTCTGCTGGAGGCTGGTGTCACGGAGAGGAGGAGGGCGGCTGATGAGGAAAGGGAGGGCAGAGTTCTTGAGGATGGATCGAAGAGGATCGCTAAGAGGTGAGTGATATTAGAATTGTGGATTGGGAACTTGGGAGTGATGAATTAGATTTTTGTTTGATTTTTAAGTGGTTGATAGGGGTAGGATTTAACGAGATTTAATACGAGGAGAAGGTTTCAAGGATTCTATACTTTAGATATTGTAAACATAATTAAATTCAGAATTGAGATTTAACTCTTAAGGTTAAAGCCATTGTTCTATAATAATGAGTGAGATTCGTGATGAAGATTTTCAATAGGATTCAATATATATATATATATGTATATATATTAGTTCTCCCGAATTCAAAGTAAATATTATTCCTCTGTAATCAACTGTTATACTTAGAAGGAAATATAGGTATAACATATGCTTAGAATTTTTCTCTTTTTCCAATAAATTATTAATGACAAAGGCCGTAACGATCAGAGTTGAGAAAGAAATCATAGGCCAAGGGGTCAAAGCAATTAAAAATATTGAAGTTCCTTATTATTAACCCTTATTAACCCCAACTTTGTTCTACTTCAAGTGGAAATTTCATTTGAAGATAATAAATCGATAGCGAAATGGTCACTCGCTTTGATGCGTGGGCAATGAAAAATGTTGAGTTTTTGTTAAATTAATCTAGAAATCTTCATCACGAGTGTCGCTCGTCATTGTATGGCAAGTGGTTAACACGTTAAACGCCGTGTCGGTCACCGATGACCGACGCTTCTGAAATACTTCACAGAAGCTACATATACAAGGTGACTGCTGTGAACTAAATATTTAATTACACGAATAAGTTAATAATAATATAACGCAAGAATTCTAATGTCAAGCAATTAATAATTCTTATTTTCTTTCGCCACGAAAGAACAAATCACGTATAAAACGTTCAAGATTCTATTACTGTGTTAAACCTCCAATCCCCATTGATTACATCATAAATTACAATTATTCCAGTAACGATAAAATAAACGTCACAATAAATTTAAACCCACTGTTAACAGTCAGTTACATTTTCGCGTATAAATGCCGATACGGAATTCCCACGTTGCTCACATCTTAATCCAAATTATCCCGGTAAGGACTTGTCAAATGTCGATTAAAGCACAACATAGTATAAAACGTTCAAGATTCTATTACTGTGTTAAACCTCCAATTGCCATTGACTATATCATCAATTATAATTACTCCAGCAATGATAAAATAAACCCTCACAATGAACGTAAGCCCACTGTCAACAGTCAGTCATATTTTCGCGTATAAAAGCCGGTACGGAATTCCCACGTTGCTCATATCTTAATCCAAATTATCTCGGGAGGGTCTTCAAATGCCGATTAATGAAGAACGTTATGCTCCGTGCAGCCTGTTGGCTGGATTACACGAGTGCCCGCGGAAACCCCGAGAAATGCGCACAATTGGTTGGAAATCTAGGTCGCCTGGAATATCCACAGAGTGTTTCGCGACCCGAAAATTCTATACCCGGTCGCCTCGGCCTTTCTCTTTTTCGCGTGGCCGATCATTGCGACCCGAAATAGGCCCGGCAATCAATTATTTTTCTTCCCGGCGTCGAATGTCTCGGCGGCCCCTCGTTCCCTGTTCCGTTTTAACGTTTCCGCCCAACGATGAAACGCGAGACCGGCAATCCCGACGTATGTAGACACGCGTTATTGCTGTCAAACGTATACTACTCCGTGCACCGGCCCGTCTGCCGCGCCGTCGTGGAACAATAAACCGAATGAATACGATCTGCAAAGTGAATTCCGGACGCCCGGGCCAAACTGAACAACGTAAACGAACGTTCGACCCCGGATAAACTTCTGAACACGAATATCGAAGCCATTACATTCTTATAAATCGCGAGAAACGAATGATTTCGTGATGGTGATTGTTTTCGATGGTTAATCCTTTACCTTTGAAACACCAGCTATGACATTTCAAATAATTGTTGATTAACCCCTTGACCTACAACGAGTGAGACTCGTGACGAAGTTTTTCAACATGATTCAACAAATATACATATTATTCAGTTCTTAGAATTCTAACCCTTTGTACTCTAGAAATGTTTCATGGAGATACTCGACACTTTCTGATGAGGTACAAAAGACATTTTCTGAAACTCGAGAAATTGCAGATAAATCGAGAAACAAAATGGTTTTATTTCAATATTCCACATATTGATGCATTATACAAGTTCGATAGTGAATAGCAAACTTTACAATTTTCAAATCAAGCGACTGACGTGCTTCTGGAGTGCAAAGGGTTAAATACAATTATAATCGAGCTGTTTGTAGATCTAGAAATTACTGCCTAGTACAAAGAGTTAAACGCTGAGAAGGTGGCACGTCTTGGAACTCTTAAATTCTAAAGTTAAGAAGTTTGATACAATTTTCTACGTTTCCGTGGAATTATTTCAATTGGAAACTTCAGAAGTTCGATGTTAAAACATAACATTCTTGTTACATTAAAACATTTCTATATCGTAAATAATGCTACCTACTACGTTGACATTGAGCTAGATGAACATGCAACAATAATAATGCAATTCAATGGAATAATTCAATATTATATTTTCTCCGTTTTGTGTATTTTCCTCTATGAAATCGCTATAACAACGTGTTAACACTTTAACTGCCGCGGTGGTTACCGATGACCGGAGCTTTCAAATTACAAGAAAATAATTACGACTTGAAGGATAATTGATTTCGAATACAAATTTTCCGTAGCGTAAATAACTAGATAATAGAGTAATATAAGAATTTTCATATCAAAGAATTAATAATCCTTGCTTTGTATCTTCGCTATAGAAAGGATAAGTGATACATAAAACGCTGATGTTTTTCGTGGCAGTCAACGTGTTAACTGTTAGTTTGTGCTGTGAGAATTTCGAGGCGCATGTTTGAACTATGGTCGACCCGTGGTTACATCGTGTACGGCTTCTCTGAGCTTCACCGGACAGTTTACTCGAGCTAATTGTCGTTTAATGTTTTAATTACCATGGACACCAATTTTGTTCATTGTTTGTAACGAATAGGCGAAGAGAGGCTTCGTGTTTTAGAACAACCACGGAGCATTCGCGGAGAAGTCGATATTCCGTTGGCTGCAAGCTTCAATCCCCGCCCGCTATCATCCTCCTTTTTCCCCTACCCTTTATCATGCACAGCTAAGCTTCAAAAATACACGAAGCCGTACTGCGGGATCGCAAGATGCCCACAGAAACGATTCACATTCCTCGATAGCTAGCCTTTCATGACTGGATGTTGAAACGATAAACTCCGCTCGACGATTTCGCCATCTAAACTTCCTTTCCTCCGAATTTTTCTCGCCAAACAGGTTCACGCTGGTGTAATTTGAATTGGAAAAGTCTTGAACGCTTCCTTGTTTATTTGAAATAATCGACGTTAGGTTGTAGATGATTAGAACTGGGCTATAAGTGCACCGATGAGTGCGCTATTTTGTATTTAACCCTTTCTGTCATGGCGACTTTATATGAGGACGTACTAAATAAATGCTTGGTGTATCTAAATTCGGTAAATTTTATCGTTCGTAAACGTCATATTATCACAACCATAGATTCTATTTGACAATGGTGTCGACTTCTGTTGTCAAATTGTGTCACGAAATAAAACTAAAGACGCACATTCAAGTGGACTTAGGAAAAAATCATTCGTGAATAGGGTTAATTTGTCATATTGGTTCTTGTCATTGTTTGGAGAGTTTGAACGTTTCTATTGGAATGATTAAAAAGTCATTTCTGAAATAGGGAAGAATAACGTTTAAACAAGGATCTTTTTTTGAAGAATTTGTTTTTAATATCTTTATTAGAATCGATGATTTGAGAATATTATAAATTTGTGTGGATAATAAGTGAATTGTTTTTGTGTGCTTTAACAACTTGTACATTTATTGTTTGATAATATTTTGTTATTTTTTATGATGTCCCGACAAATTGATAAATATGTGTTCGTTTAGTGTTCGAGTGTTCTGTGTCGAATCAGGCGCTGCGAGTCTACCTCGTTATTTCGACTGAATAGATTAAAAATCGATGAGGTACCCATTCGCCATGCTGGACTTTATATACAGACCATCAACGGAGAAAGCAAACATTGCGGACTAAATATTCGTTGATAGAGTACGAAACCTTGCGTATTTTCGTATTTTTACGGACTAATCGATGAATACGAAAATTATATTAAATAAACGTACTGCCTAAGTCAATTCTTTTATCAGTTCTAAATGTTGAATCTCCATTCAAACTCATTAAAGTATTTATTTAACTGATTCCCAAAGGATCAAAATAAAATCAACGCTAGAACTATCAAATAGGTCGAAATAATTTCGAATTTCCCTTTCACGATCATTAGAGAAATACGAACAGACTCTTTAGATATGACAGAATAAACGAATTTACCAAAGTTCATACTAAAATACAAGTCAATTGAGATTGTAACAAAGGAATTGAAATTCGATACAACAAAACGCAAACCGCTCGATTGGCCTGTTCACGGTGCAGAAATGGATGTAACAAGTAAACAACGAAATCATCGAAGAAAATCAATAGCAACGTTCAGCAAAGGAAATAACAAGGCCAACGAAAACCAAGCGGAATTCCAATCTGGAAGCCAAAGGGATCGAATGATCGGCGTTCTTTCGTCCTCGTCGGATAACACCGCGGTTCACGACCTAATCCGCGGCAAGCTCTGCTCCCTCCTCCCTCTTACCCTCGCAGAGACACGGAACCAAGGAACTCCGACCGGAAGCCTTTGGAACCGTACGCGAAGAGCGCGGAAACAGGAAGAGAATGGCTTGGATCGGATGCCGTGTGGCGCAGGTGAAGACGGCGCTCGCTTTAACTGCTGTCTGAAAGTGGGTTAAAGTAGCACCGAGCAACCTTCATCTTGTCAGGGGCTGGAATCGAAAATTCTATTCTATGCCGATTGGAGTGGGAAACATAGTAGCCTTTGTAGGGTAGGATTTAAAATCTGATATCTTTTGAGGGTTAGTATAAAAGGTATAACATTCTGTGTGGACTAGA